GTTTTATTGATCTATGTATTATCTGATTAAATTACATAATTACAATGATAGACATAAGCAGGTTTGGCAACAAACACACCTGATTTAATATGCATGCAATTCAGCAAATGAGAAATGTGAGCCTGCATGAAGTCCCAAATGTCCAATATCCGGTGGGGGTATATTTTATAGAAAAAAATTAGTAAGTGAACCTGGCAATTGATGAGTTGGAGGTCTTATTGGAGAGCTTCTGTCATTGTTCTTAGGATGCATACGGCAGGGTAAGCTGTGTGAGGCGTGATTTCTCCTGAGTTTTCCAGAGGTGTGAAGCCAGAATGAGAGGACTGGTCTCTGAGATGGAGGAAGATCACATTGGGACACTTAGGAAAATTATCTTATATATTAAATGTGATGAATAATGAACTCTCTGAGGATTACTATGATTTTTGGACTACTTGATATAAGAATGGTATGATACAGTTGGCTGGTGTGTTAGCTCAAACACATATGATATACATGAAATCCTACTTTCTGCTTTTGTAATTTTTATTTCTGGCTACAGCTTACATCTAATACACAAAGAGGTTTTCTCAATGTACAAAATGCATAAAATAGATAGGAAAATTTTAATCATTTTTAAGCCATTTTTAAGACCTTTGTATTTGTGTGAAATATTTTTCTCTTAAAATTGTTGATGTAGTTTCCATAGTTTTCCATGTTGTTGACTGTATAAACGCCATCCCAATAGGGAAATCTAACTTTTTTAGTTAAAAGAACATCTTTTATTAGAATGACTTTTTAAATCTGTAGTCAGTGTACTTTGCGTATGGCACAAATAAATGTATTTATAAATTAGAAGCTTAAAGAGCCGAACAACATAACTTAGAAAATGGGAATCTTTCAGGGTTTATAATAAGCTAAGCCCTGGAACTTCCGGTCTTCTCATTTAATTTGGCCTTTATCTCAAGTATGGACATGACCCAAAAGATAATCAATGCAAGATTCATGGAGGAATTTCTATTTGGAAGCTATCTGCAACACTGCTAGAATGTATCACCTTTGTGCCACATGAATTAAAATAATGATGACAAAATCTCAGTTGTTAATTCGTCTTAGAGTGACTGCTGGTGTCAGGACGAGTTTATTACATATCTCTTTCATTCATGAAATTAAAGTCTTCAGACTTTTATGTCAGAAAAAGTTTGTCTTTATCTTGAACTCATAAGTTTTGTTTTGTCAGACAGATAAAATGATCATTTACTATTTTGCCTTGGCTGCCAGCAATTTCAGAGCTAGCTTGTAGTGCTTATGCAGCTAAAGTTTTCATATAATTATCTTCATCTTCATACTCTCTTTCTCATAACATGGTTTAATTTTTGTTTTATTGCTTCTATAATGTTTTTTTTAATTATAAATATCCTTAATTCCTTTTTGAAAGTTGGTGGTAGATAAATTCAATTAATTCAACGAACAATTATTGAGTACCTAATTCTTGCTGTTAAAGTATCTCTGTTACACTGGCAATAGTGAAAAGGGTGGGCTGTAGCTTCAGGAAGATGGGGGAAAGAACCTGTTTTCAGAAATTCATAGGAAATGCATTGGATCGTAAAATGTGTATTTTGCCAGGCACTTAAAGTACCCATGTTTATTCTCTTATTGCTAGTTAAAAGTGACCATTAGGATAGATTGCCATTACCAATGCCTCTATGTTTTCCAGAGTCATTTTGTTCTACTCAGATTTAAAATTCAGGACTGGAAGCTGGGTCTCACATAATCTCTGAGAGCAATGCACATTAAGCCTGGCCTTTTCTGTTCTTAGACGTCTACAGAGACGAATGAAGCCGGCCTTTATGGGCGCACACTGCCCTAGGCCTTTCAACTTCACTCTGGGGAAGAGATGGCATGTGTGAGATGACCAGAGAAATCTTTGAAGAAGATGATAGTTTTGTCTGATAGGTATTATAAAATGATGTTAAAAAGAGAAGGCATCCCTACTTTGAGTCTAAAAAGGAAAGAAAGCCTTTTTTTTGTTGTTCACATTGATCTTTTATGAAGATGATTCTCTTATGCTTTGTGCAACTTTTGAATGTCTACCCAGCCCTTTGAAAACACAAACTACTATATAAAGGCGTAGAAGATTATAAATATGGTGGTAGCCGATGAATGGTTGGCCAATAGCATCATTTATAACAACATGGGAATTCATACTTTTTGAAATATAAATTAAATGTATCTTTTACTAATCCATCACCTAATTTTAAAAACTAGATTTGTCAATTATTCTGACCTAGATATCTCATTCCCTGCCCATATGAAAGAGAATCTAAGTATTGCCTGAATTTTTCTGAAACTGATTACCCTTTAAGTCAGGGGTGGGGAACGTCTGGCCCAGGGGCCGTTCAAGGACTGCAAAATCATTTGGTCTGGCCCTGCCAAGGCATTAGGGGTGAGTTAATTAAATGTTTGATCAAAAATAGCAGGCTAATTTTTAAGTTGATAATTTTGTATGGCTTGTAAATGATGTTATAAATATCCAAATGGCCCTTGGCAGAAAAAATGTTGCCCATGCTTGCTTTAAGTGAACATCCTTGTCTTCATTCCTCACCTTCTCATTCTGGCTATTGGCCTTTTACAGTGGTTCTCAACCTTCTGGCCCTTTAAAACAGTTCCTCATGTGGTGTCCCCCAACCATAAAATTATTTTCGTTGCTACTTCATAACTGTAATTTTGCTACTGTTATGAATCGTAATGTAAATATCTGATATGCAGGATGGTCTTAGGCGACCCCTGTGAAAGGGTCGTTCAACTGCCAAAGGGGTCGCGACCCATAGGTTGAGAACCGCTGGTTTATGAGGCTCTTTACATGATAGGCAGAATAGGTCTCCCACCCCAGAACGTACACATCATAATCTCCACAGCCTGTGAATATGTTACATTACATGGCAAAAGGAAATGAAGGCTGCAGATTGCATTAAATCTGCTGATCAGTTTACCTTGAATAAGGAGATCTTGCTGGTAATCTGGGTTAGCCCAATGTGATCTTCAAGTGCAGAGGAGAGCAGCAGAGTGAAGTGACATGAGGGGAGCTTGACCTACCTTTGCTAGCTTTGAAGATTGAGGAAGGGGTCCCCCCAAGCCAGGCTATGCAGGAGACTTCCAATACCCAGAAAAGGCAAGGCAACCTGTACCCCGGAGTCTCCAGACAGGAAGACGCTGCTGACACCTTTGATGTCACTTTTGACATAAAAACAAAACAAAACACCAAAAAAAAAACCGTGTCAGATTTCTGACCTATAGAACTGTTAGATAATAAATTTGTGTTGATTAAAAGCTTAAATTTTAAGCCACTAAACTTGTGCTAATTTGTTATGGCTGCAATAAGAAACTAACACCTTTACCGATGTTCAAGAGAAAAAGATGAAGATGAATCTCAAGGCACTCCATCTAGGAAAAGATTTAGTGTGGGTGGACATTGCAATTCTTGCTGTCAGGGAGATAGAAGGCCATTGAATTTCCCATTAATACAGAAAATCTACTGGTGCCAGTGTACTGACCCGAAAGAAAATGCTTCAAAACAAGGTATCTTTGCTTCAGTCTGCTTGCAGTCCGCCTGTGTGGCTATCATTAGAGTGATCTTTTGATAGACAGATTTTTTTAATTTAATTTTATTGTTTAAAGTATTACAAATAGTAGTACATATGTCTCCTTTTTTCCCGCATTGACTTTCCCTCGGCCTCCCCTACCCCCGGCACATGCCCTCCCACTACCCCCAGTGTCTTGCGTCCATTGGTTATTGGTTATGCTTATATGCATGCTGCTAGAACAGCTTTAACTGCATTCTCTTTAAAGTCTATTTCATGATTTCCAGGGACTACAGATAAAAGCCCAAACATGTAGCATGGCTGGCAGTGAAGGCCTCCAAAACAGAAGTGCCTGATACTGCCTCATGTCACAGTCCTCCCTTTTCTTTGCACCTATGTTCAGCCAAGGTAGCGTCCTCACGTTTTGTGAGCCTAGCATATAGTATTTTGCACTTTTCTCCTTCATACACGTCATTTCCTTCACCACCAGTGAGTGTCCTGCCAGATCATCGTACCTGCGGCAAACCCCTACGAATTCTTCCAAGATTCAACTCAAGCGTTACTTCCCTGAAAAATCAAGGAACCTTTCATATCAAATAAAATAGTTTGCTCTGTCCTTTATGCCAAATTATGAGTTGAATACCTTGTGATATTAAATTTATTTCCATTTCATTTTCTTATACCAAATTGCAAACTTCTTGAGGGCGATAACAGGGTCTCATAACATCTCTGTGGGATTTAGTATCTCACACAACTTATACAGCGGGTACTCAATAAATAAATATAAAATGAGTGGATGATTAGGTCACCTAACCTGGCTATCTAGAAAACATTTTACATTTTAAATAAAATTCTGACACTCGCCAACTTACTTTGCTTGATACAACTCCTCTTTCCATTCCTTAATTTAACACTTGCATATTTGTGATTTTATTGTAGAAAATGAAAACATTGGGATCTGTTTTGTGTATGGCTCTTTTTGGAAGAATTATTATGTGTAGTGTATTTGCTGTTACCCTTAACACATTGAGAATACTGTAATTTAATGGAACAGGATGGTATAAAACAAATTTTTATATGCAGCAAGTCTCTTCTTTTAAGAACATAATTGCACAGTGTATGATGACTCCTCATTCATTCAATGGACTTGGGAGCTTATCCTTGATAGCTTCAGTGAAACTACCAGCTGCCCCTGTCCCTCATTGTGGGCTACAGTCCACTTTGGAAGCCTTCAGCCCTCTATCTCTTGCTTGAGTGTTCTTCTTATGCATAGTTCAAAGTAAATTTATCCGAACACAGTCTAAGCAGCTTCATGTTAACTTCATGCTATCACCGTAGCTAATCATGGTTTCTTTGAGGTCAGCTGAGTATTTTTCTATATGAATAACTCTGTTTCCTTGAATAACCATCAGCAACAACTGTTTTGTGCTTGCCTTGCAGGTACTACAGTGCAACCATCCTGCAGATGTCTGGCGTTGAAGATGACAGACTCGCAATATGGCTGGCTTCAGTTACAGCCTTCACAAATTTCATTTTCACACTCGTGGGAGTCTGGCTTGTTGAGAAAGTGGGCCGCAGAAAGCTTACCTTCGGAAGTTTAGCAGGTAGGTGCCTGGATGAGGATTCAGTTATTACATTTCCTCTAATGACAAGTTAACCTTCCGAAGTACAATACCAGTAGCATTTTGGATACTGTTTCTAGCTAAACAATAGAGTTCTTCTAGACAAAAAGTTTTATTTTTAAAAGAGAACTTAGTGAATTTTATGATATATAACTAGAAACTAGAATGTGTGTAATAACCAGAACTGTAAGAACAATTTAAATCTAATGAGGGGACCATTTTGCTGTTATTTTGAGTTCTGCTCAGCAGGTACAAAAGTGACAAAAATAATCGCATTTTGCTCTTCCTTGGTTGAAAAACTTGGTATTCATGAACTCACTTTTTAACAAAGGTGTTTTTTTTCTAAATTTTGGAATAATATGAAAGCACATTTGGAGCATGTCACTTCTAAGCTCTTTCAACAGTAAATTCTGGTTCGTTAAGTTTGTTTTCTATGATAGCTAAGTAGGACAAAACCTTTCTCACTTTCAAGTATCCTTTGATTTCAAATTCTGCCCATTACATTTATTATTTCTCTGTAATGCGAGGGCTGTTTGAGCTGACAGATGGGACCCATTTTTGCCATGGTCTTCACATGGTTGCATAATACAATCTTTTCCATGTATACATGTGTATTCCTGCTTCTCTATTAGCTATCATCAACTGGTCCCTTTATACATTTACCTAGAGTAAGAATACATTTTCTCATTCAAATGTAAAGTTTCCAGGCCAGCATTAATTAAATTTTGTTGTAACCAAATACGTATACCTCAAGCATTAATCTAATGGAACTGCTTCAGGCCTTGTTCCAGATTTGATGAGAAAATACATTCCTAGTTTCATACTTGGAACACATACTCTTTCCTACCCTCACCCCAGAAAAGGGTGTGGAGTGCATTCACCCTCTGTGCTTGTCTAAGAGTCCAATAACATAGGTTGAACTATAGTATCAGCTGAGGGGAAGGAGAGGGAAAGACTGACTGAGAGACAAAGGAATCACAACAGCCATGGTAGGTAGGGAACGGAGGGGAAGTGAGGAAAGGTGAGGGACAAGTGAAGGTTTAAAAAACCATCTCTCTATATATAAAAGCCTAAACGAACGGAACAACTGAACAACCAGAACGACTGGTCGACCAGTCACTATGATGTGCACTGACCACCAGTGGGCAGACACTCAATGCAGGAGCTTCCCCCTGGTGGTCAGTGCGCTGCCACAGCCAACCTCCCGTGGCCAGCCCCCTAGATAGGCCTCGATTGCAGGCCAGGCAGAGGGACCCCACCCGTGCATGAATTCAGGCACAGGGCCTCTAGTACATTTATAAACCTGTTAAGCCAGAAGTGTTTGCCTAGGAAAAAGGTCTAAAGGGAGAGCTAATAATCTTATTCTAGCAGATGGTCTAGGGGACATAGATTTGTACTTAATATAAGAAAAATATTTCTAATATTCAGAGGTATCCAACAATGAATTTGGCTGCTTCCTTAGGATGGTAAACTGGAAAGAAAAGAAAAAAAAAAAAGGAAAGAAAAGGGATAGTACCATCAGGTAGTGATGTGCTAAAAATACATTTCTACGGTTGGTTGGAAATTGGATTTGCTAACCCCTGAGGCTCAGATCAACTCTAAGAAGAGATAACAACCACTTTAAAAGTTTTTAAATGGATACCATTCCTTTTGACCGGGCCTCCATACATTGCTCCCTTAAGAGGTCTGTTTTTAAATAGAATTTCAGGTTTTCTTAAACTTGGGAATTGGCTTTTGATATCTGAGGAAACTGCTGATTTCAAGATCCGTAGAAAAACACTCTTTTGTAGCAGCCTCTGTCCCTTTACTTGTATTCCAGTGAGAGACTTTCTCATCAGTTCTGCAGTAGGTTGAGATGCTGTGGAGCCAGACTGTTTGGGTTTGAATGGGGTGACTTTGAGCAAGTTTCCACCTCCTCATTTGTAAACAGGATTAACCGCAGTCCTTGCTTCCCAAGATTGTAATGAGGACTGAACACACCTGTACACGCATAGCATGTAAAGCACTCCTGACAGAGAGGAAAGTGCCCAGAGCAGTTTGGCTCTCACAGCATTTTATTACTGCCCACCAGTGAGTCTTTGTTGTTGTAACTATAATGTGAAATCAGTTTGTAACATCAGCATGCAGGGGCTTTCCTGACCTCTTCCAGCTGGTGTCACCTTTCACCGCTCAGTGTAGGTCCTCTGCCCCAAGGAAGTTCACACTGTTCAGAGGGAGCATTAAGACAGTTATTTGGCCCTGGCCTGTTTGGCTCACTGGATATAGAGCTTCGGCCCACGGACTGAGGGGTCCCAGGTTTGATTCCAGTCAAAGGCACATCCCTTGGTTGCGGGCTGGACGAGGTGCCTGCAGGAAGCAACCAGTTGATGTGTCTCTCTCACCCATGTTTCTCTTTGTCTCTCCCCCTCCCTTCCACTCTCTCTAAAAATCAATGGGAAATATCCTTGGGTGAGGATTAACTGTCCCCGAAAAGACAGTTATTTGGTGGGGAGACCAAGAGATTTCTCATGAGCAACCTGTAGGCACCTTTCTTTCCTGCCATGTTCTCTTTTCAACCAACACCACCAATATCCCAGCTCCATCCATGACCAAGCCAAACAGTGATGCCTCCTGCTTGAGACAGCTCTTCCATGACGTGGGCACCTGATTTCCTTGTGCTGTGGCCAATCAAAGTGATGATGTAGCCGCGGAGAGGTCAATGGGGGGAAAAGGAGACATATGTAATACTTTAAACAATAAAATAATTTAATTAAAAAAAAATAATAAAGTAATGATGTAGAAATTGCAGTGGTTTAGGAGGTAAAGGGCTTGGGGTTTTTGTCACAGGTCTCCTCTTTACCTGCACATATAGATGAAAATAGTGCTGTTTTTGCAGTTCTGGTTTTTAACTGTGATTAAATAGGCCCCACTAGAACATAATGAGCAATGGAACTTTACACTCTTCGGAAGAAAAGTCACTGCTAAACAGCCGCTAGTGTACAATCGTCTCGGTATCTGCCAGGGATTGGTCCAGGACCCCCTCAGATGCTGGAATCCGTAGATGCTAAGTCCCTATGTTAAATGGTGTAGTATTTGGGTCTGACCTACGCACATCCTCCCGTATACTTTACCATAAATCATCTCTATATTATTTATAATACCTGATACAGTGTAAACACTACACAAGCAGTTGTTATACCGTATTGTTTAAGGAATAATGACAAGAAAAAAGTCTGTACACATGTTCAGTTGTGCCTAACTACATAGTACACATCAGCCAGAATGTAACTTTTTTTCTTCAAATATTTTCAATCCTTGTTTGGTTGAATCCATGGATTTGGAATGCATGGATACAGAGGGTCGACTGTTAGTATTACTCCACTGAGACCTACAAAATAGATGTTTATTTCACTTTCTGATGGCAGTTGATTCTGGATTTGTCATTTTTATTTCAATGCATTTGTTTTATTCATTTGTCTGTAGGTATATTTTTTATATTCTAATAGAGCTAAGTACTAGAACACTTCTATTTTAAATTTCTTAAATTAGCTTAGAATTTTTAAACCTTTGATTCATTTTTGCTCCTTATTTTGTGTTTTTATAACTTTTTAGTATATTGTGTTAAAAATAGTAGGACAGCTTATATCAAAATAATTTTTGAATAGGTATTCACTCTTTTAAAATAACTGCAAATAAACTATTTAGCAAAGAAACTCTTTATACAAAGAAATATAAAACATACAGTCCAAGTCCATGAATAATTTTAAATGTAGGACATTTTGTGGTGTTCTGACTTTCACTATTTTCAAGGCTTGCTCAGAGAACTGGTCTTTCTTGTAAATATTACAAACTTAATGACCACCTCTTGATTCTTTTAATAGAAGGTTTATATCTATGTAACTTGATTGCTTATAAATAGGAAAGCCAGAAGCACTGTGCTATTTCCCCCCAGATATTTTGGTAGTGGAATATTTCTGAAAGTGTCACTCACAGGCGGTCTCCACCAGAATTATCGCGGGTACTGCTTTTGAAAGGGGGATTCTTGTGCCCTAGCCCAGATCTACGAAATTAGAATCTCTGAAGGTGGGTCTGCAGCATGTGCACTTGAACAGGCTTGCCAGGTGATACTTATGTACACAAAGTGTGCTGTATCAGAGTGGTGGGAAGGGACATAATTTTTTAAGTTTTACTAATCTAAGCCCTGTACCAGGTAGTTACTGTTACTTGTTACCTCAGGTATTTTTGAGAATGCTATTTATCCAGCACACTTCACTTCCTATGGGAGCATGGTTAGGTAGATAGAGGGATCAGGAGGGTTTTGATCATAACTTGCTGTGCAATGAGCTATACTACGATATAAGTATTTTTCTTTAAACCTTAATAGTTGATATCAGGAAACCTATTTCATTATGTAGATCACTAAAAACCTGGTCATTCCTTTCCTGTATCAGAAGTTCATAAAACTTTTTTTTTCATACTCCCTGGCTGACTTTCTGCCCTGACCTAACAGTGGATCAGTCTTATTCTAACTCTAATTCTCTACATCTAAATCAATAATCATATCTAGAGAGTATTTTTTTTATCAAACAGCAGTTTTTGTTAATAATTTGTTTGCGGTAACTGTGTTAAAAAACATTTAATAGTTATCAAGAAAAATGAAACTAGAGCATGGCCCTTTCTGTTTATTCTCATGAAGGCTGGAACAGTGGGCAGAAATTAAAAAACTTTCTTATTTACCATCAGATGTCTCGCAAAAATGAACCTTTTAAGTGATACACATAATCACCATTCCCAGACCTTAAAATAAAAAAAACAAATATTCTACTTGCAAGTATCAGTAGCAAAGAGAAGTGAATACATGTTATAATATCATTTCTGACATCTTAAAGTCTTCAAAGAATGCTACTTTTCTTTAATAAGAAATGCTATTTCAAGTGCTCTTAAAATATTCAGTTTATTACTTTTTAGCCTACTGATTTGGGTCTTATGATCAAATGCCATTAGAACAATTTTCTCCGCAATGAAAGGAACACTGTGAAAATCTGTTGCCTTTCATAGTTCCTGACGTGTCAGGCACTCAATAATGTTGGTTACACTAATGGATTTTGAGACTCTCAGCACTGGAAGCTGTGGGGTGTTTTGTGTGTTTTTTTGTTTTGTTTTGTTGTGTTTTGTTTTCGTTTGTTTTGTTTTGGGTTCTTGTTGTTTTGGGGTTTTTTTATAAAATCATTACCAATCTACTCCTTGGCTAGCAAATGTATCATGTCTCACAATGGATGTGCTAATGTGTTTTTCTGATAATTTGTTCTTAGGAGCATTTTTTTTAATACAATGAAGAAAGATCAAGGTACTTTTTAGAGATGTGTCTTGTCCAAACTCAGTCTGCTTTGGAAGAATGTTGTCAGCTATTCTCTAATGCAAAACTTTTTTTCTTTCTTTTTTTTTTTAGGTACCACCGTAGCACTCATTATTCTTTATTCTTGCTTTGGGGTTTCTGCTCTCGGCCCAGGTTTCCCCACGCATCACTTTTAAACCAATAGCTCCGTCAGGTCAGAATGCTACTTGCACAAGATACAGGTGAGACTCTGTGATGATTCCCTTTCTTAAGCTAACTCTGAAAACTTGTTTGTTTGCTTTTGCTTTTCTAAAATTTGAGAGATGAGTAGAAACATGCTTATGGGGAAGGTAGAAAGTGGAAAAGTTGGTAGGAAGGGACCACCAAGAAAAGGAACAGTACATGTAAAGATCTGAAGGTAAAAGTGTTTAAGGAAAAGTGAGTTGTTAGACACAATTTTGATGATTTTTTGGGGTTTTGGGGGGGAAGTAAAAGTAGGGATTGATAGAGAATCTAAGCAGGAATACTGGGAAACTGTTTTGGGTCATATGTGACTCAGTGTTAATCAGTAATTAAACTTTACCATGATGTACATGTCTCTTATAGTTGATTACTATCTGGATATTCTAACAGTCTTCACCGAGTTCCACAGGCATCCCCTGATTCATTTAAGCAGAAAAGAAAGTTTTCTCTCACTACTGGGGTTCTTCCTGAGGATTAGAAGGTGAAAAGAGAATGGTAGAAGAGAGTGAAATGTGTACTAATGGCCAACTACAGGTTTAAGAGCTCATTAAGTCTATTGGTGTACACACTATGTGATAAATAGATGCAGAAATGGATCGATGGTCAGATAGACTGAAGAATGAAAAAATGAATGAATTAAAGACTGAATGATTGAACAGGTCAGTTAAAATGTTTGGCAGCAGAGATTCAAAGTTTTGTTGTTGTTGTTGTTTTACCGCATTTTAGTGGTTGAAAAGGCTAGCAACGCCTTTGAAACACATGGCTAGAACAAGGCCTTGCTTTAAAAAAATATTTCACCCTGGTCGGGTAGCCTGGCTTGTTGGAGCATTGTTCCATATACCAAAAGCTTATGGCTTTGAATCCATTCAGGGTACATAGCTAGGTTATGGGTTCAATCCATGGTTGGGGCACATGCTGGAGGCAACTGATAGATGTTTCTCTCTCACAATCAATGTTTCTCTCTCCTCTCTCTCTCTCTGTCTCTCTCTCCCCCTCTCTCTCTTTCCCTTCCTCTTTCTTTAAAATCAATAAAAAATTCCTCAGGTGAGGATTAAATATATATATTCAGCCTCAGCTAGATGGACACAACTCTCAAACTCAATGGGTAAATTATTGTATTAATTAATTTATTAATAATGAGTAAATGGTCTATTAATTTTTAGTCAGCCAGAGAGTATTAAAAAAAGTTTTATGAATTTCTGATACAGGAAAGAAACTACGTTTTTAATGATTTACATAATGATATCATGCTTTCTGATAATAATTTTTAAAGTTTAAATATATGTATTTTCATAGGATAGCTCATTGCACAGCAATTTATGATTATCAATCTATTAACCCTCCTGATCCCTCTAAGTTATTATCACCTACCAATATGTCAGTGTACCACTGGAATGAAGTGAGAAATGTTCTAGTCTTATTTTATCCTGATAAAAAAAGTGAGAAGCTATTTTTTAAAACAGGACCAATTTTTAGATGTCCTTTAGAAGTCAGCAAGTATAAAAAACAATGATTTTTGGTGTGCCTTTTTTCAGAGTAACATACTAGTCTTTGTGGGAATTTGACAGTATGTATTTACAGTCTGAGTGACTTTATAAAATATGTCTGCAGTCTCTGAACTGATTGTATTATTATATCATGTTGAGTCATGTTTGTGGGATCATAAAATGAGAAATAGTTATGCTATAAATGTAGGTGTTATGTTTCCCCCCTGGAATGATCCATATATGAAAATTGAGCAAATAAAACATTTAAAAGGGAGAGTGTGCTTAGTATCTATCTTAAGAACATTATATATTATAGGTAGGTATGTGAATTTTTCTCTGTTTTGGAAGGTAATATAGTTCTGCCTGATAAAAGTGATGAAATCCCCGTGCTCATTGACTCAGCACTTCCACTGGTGAAAATCTATAGACTGTAGTGATGAGTTGTGTAATTCATTCTGTCTAGAGTAGATTAGACTTTAGAAGCTTAAATGCTTCAGAAACAATGGTTCTTCTTTATTTTAAGTCAATAAATACACATGGTGTAGCAGGCACTGTTGTAGGTTATGGCCAAAAGTTTTGTAGGTTGGGACTCACTCAAGTCTTTGAACCCAAGAGATTGACTATCCTAAATAATTTCCATTGAGAATTTCCCCTTTTTAGAATGTTTTAATTTTCTAATTGATATTTTATTCCAAGGCCTGGTTAGATTTTTGTGAACTGAAGTATTCAAGACTATCATTCAGATCTGCTTTTTAGCAGATAAAACTGCATAGAGATGAACATGAGTGCAAGTTGCTGTAGAATAGAAACTGTGCAGCCACCTGAATAAAAGTTGTCACCGGGTACCAACTGTGACTAGGAGAAATAACCCCAGTATGTGAATCATCTGAGTCATGTATCTGAATAAGAATACACACATATACTCCTAATATGGCTTTCAGCTCCACGTTCTCAAATTGCTGTTGTACTATCCCTTTCTTATTCAGTTAAACATAGTTTCTAATGAGAGGATTCAAACTTTTCATAACACTTCCCTCAAATTTTTTACATTATTTACAAGTGTGATCTCAGTATATGCAAATCACTACCACAGAACTCTTCAAAGTAGACACATATTTCCTAAAGAATACAATTATAGAATTTCACCTTGCCCTAGGGCAGTGATGGCGAACCTTTTGAGCTCGGTGTGTTAGCATTTTGAAAAACCCTAACTTAACTCTGGTGCCGTGTCACATATAGAAATTTTTTTATATTTACAACCATAGTAAAACAAAGACTTATATTTTTGATATTTATTTTATATATTTAAATGCCATTTAACAAAGAAAAATCAACCAAAAAAATGAGTGTCATAGGTTCGCCATCACTGCCCTAGGGTTTCCATCACCTTATTCATTCATTGATTCAAGTGCGGATGGGTGCAATTAAAATTATTTACCGAGCATCTACTCATAGGATTATAGTAAGCATACATTATTATATCAAAAGTACCTAAAACAATGTTTGGGTATATAATAAGCACACAATAAATATTATAGTCATTGTTGTTTTTAACAAAGACTATAATAGGAGATGAGAATGGGATGATGGGTAATCTCTCAGAGAAATTATCCTAAGCATGAGATGTTTGAAATGAACTCTGAAACAGGGAGAGGAACATGCCAGACAGAAGAAAAATCAGGTGCAAAGACAGTAGGAACTTGCCAAGAGCAGGGAACTGAAAGGAAGCTAATATGGTTTGAAAAGAATAAGAGAAGGCTGGTAAAACCAGAGCCAGGTTCTGTAGAACCTCAGAGATCATCTCAGAGATTCTGATCTTCAGTCTAGGAACATGACCACCTTGAGGGGTTTTAAGCAGGGGAGTGACATGATCAGAGGTTGATTCCAAACTTTTCCTCTGACCCTGGGTGGGGGTGCACAGAAGTCACAGGTTGATGGAGGGAGAGTGATGGGCAGAAACCCTATTAGCCCCTATTTTTGTTCCAGTATTTGGCATCCTGGTGATAACGTATTTGTTTCCAGTAGTTCTTCCCAACTTGACCATGACTATAGCATTATATATGAATTGAAACTTTCCCCATTTTGTTTTCTGCTTAGTGATTTCATTTAAAATTTACCTATTTTAATTTATTTTTGGCCTGATGGTACAGGCTAATATGTCTTGAGGTTAATATTAATAAATATCTGTTGAATAATATCCACAGAACTATTACAGATGAAGAGAAATACACATAAATTGGTTGAAAGGGAAAATTAGTTGAAACAAAAGCCCATATAACTTTATCATGTACCCTTATCTCCAAATAATTGTACATGTCTTTTGCTAGCACTTAAACAGCCAGAGCTGAATTTGACACCTGGATAGAAGGATGGTGGGAGATTCTTGCAGGAAGTTGGCCACTTACGTTATGGGGCTAACTCATTGAGTTCTTCATGACCTTTTTATCTCGATGGCGAGACTTTTGGCCAAGGACCTGCAAAGCCTCCTCAATGACAGCATCCCGTATTCAAATCTTGTGTTTTCTACCCATGCTCTCGCAGCTGAATAAAGCCCACCCTGACTTCAAGGGGAATCGTTTATAAAAAGAGCAGTGCCTGGCTCAGAAGTGTAAGTACTCGGTCATTAACTCCTGCGTTGAGAGCTTGTCATGATTAGAGATGACTCTCTTCACCTTTCTAAGCTTACCTTTCATTCTTTCAAAAAAGAAGTTACAAGTTTTGGGACACTGACCAAGAAACTAGTCATGGAGGTAGTATACTGCAACCGTTGTTCTCTTTAGGTATCACTCACACTGGTTCCACCTTCCACTGACGAGGAGAGATTTCTTACTTTCCAAAAAGTGTGTGTATCTGGACCCGCACAGAGGGAGCTGAGTAGACACAGAGCAGTTGCCTATAACTCAGTGTTTCTTTGTCCGCAAACGAGGCAATTGCTTCCAGTGGGGAAGATAGTCTGACCCTTTTGTTAACCCTATGAGAAAATGATTGGCAGTGTGGTAGTCAGACTTGGGTTTATTATCTTCCTTGAGGCACATTCAGTGAGCAAGTTTCTTTTTTCTCAAAAGCAGCGATAAAAAAAGACAATAATTTCTTGACACAGATTTTTCACAGGAAATGTATACCATCCTAACTTCTATTTATTGCTCTGTGGAAAGTACATGTGGATTTTCGTCTTCTTTGGGAGCCACTGATTCTAGTCATAGTTGTGTCATGATGCGAACAGGACTTGAGGGAAATATGATCAGAATAGCTCAGAACAATTCCAGAGACTGATTCATTTTTATTTCTCCCCCATGGAATAAGTTACTTCTCACAGAAACACTAACCCACGTGATTGAATGATCAAAACATTATTATTTAGCTCTGGCCGATGTGGCTCAGTTGGTTGAATCCTCCCATGCACTGGAAGTTGCCGGTTCGATTCCAGGTCAGGTCACATTCCTAGGCTACGGGTTGGATCCCTAGTACATACGGGAGGCAAAAACCAATTGATATTTCTCTCTCATCTCTCT